TGAAATGTTATATAAATTTAGAAATGGTAATATTGAATTGACGAATATTTGTAGTATAATTCTGAACAACTGAAAATGTCAGCATTGATTCACTAAATTTAAAGATAAAATTTTAAACTAACAGTTTTAAATAACAAAATAAACAAAATAAGTAACTCTAATAAATGCAGATAATGAAAAAATTTTTAGAAATTTACAAAATACTAAATAGATATTTAATTAAAATATTTTATAATTTATTAACTACATTTATGAATAAAATTTAAACAAGTGACCAGTCTACCTTCTGTGTAAATCCTTGCCACTTGACTCTCAGTTATTGTGAATGTTGAAAATGGGTCACAAAATTAGTGGTATATATCATAAGTTCTAATGTTTAAATCCATTTTACAAACAAACGAACACCCATCTAAACCTAGTAATCTAGGATTTCATTTGTAATCTACATTTTAAGCCCAAAAAATTTATTTCCTTTACAAGTTTAGAATTGTTCTTGAATAAGAATTTAGTACGTGATTTTGCCTTGTCAGTTTGTTTTGTTTGATTATGGCAATGCAACACTTGGGTGATCTGCCTAGGGGGATGCCTTCTGGGAGGTCTTTTTAAGGGAAACTGGCCCCTATTTAGGCGTTACAGATGTGGAGAAAACCTGGAAAACTCCACGTAGCCAGCCCGTCCAAGCAAGGTGCAAACTACAACTGACTTCCAGTGTTCAGGGAACAAATACTGCTTGGCCACTGGTGGGCCTTGCCTTGTCAGAGATCCAACCCTCTTATATCTATTATAAGTTATGTATTACATAAGTGAGAAACTTCTGAAATTTTTCTGTAAATTTATTTCTCTTTTTGAAATATACTAAATTCTTTCTAATTCAGTCATTAATAATCAGGACTTTCAATTATCTGACAGTATGGCTCTCTGTGCTTCTACTTCCATGAAAATGTTAATCATGTCTCATATTCTCTTTTCCTGTTTACTTGGGTTTTATTTCTGTGTATAACATTGCATGTCAGTGCTCCATATTACTTGTCCACTTGCCTCCAAGAAAGAATCAGTACTGAAGGGCAACAAATCAAGTTATTCATTGGTTTTAAGCAGGCTTTAAGCCTATACACTTTCAGTAATCTAGCACTACTCTGTACAAAGAATAGCCAAATTAGCAAGAATCTAGTGTAATAGATTATAAGTTCAAATAATTCCATTGATGTATTCTTCCATTTACATCCCATAACCAAAAAGTTAAAAGTATATTACTATAATAAAATTCCACTATGTATTAACATCTAATTGTAAGATACCAGAATATACAAAACTTTGATAAATTTACAAAAAATTGATGTTATTCTCATCTTTGCACACCTTAATGAATATATGTTATGTCAAAAATTTACATTTTTAGAAAATTAGAATAAATAAATGTCTATTTGAGTGAGAGCAATGTAATGTGTTTTCACTAATTTCCAGTATTGTTAACTATATAAATATTGTATGATAAATAAATTTCTATTTCATTTATCTGCTAACTTACAGGAATAAACATCCATGAGATTTACTATATTAATTTTACAATTCATAAAAATGTTATAAAATAAACTTCTTACTTCTTTAACTGGATCATAAGATGTAATTTTAACAGATTTTAGTCTATCCAACAATTCTGTCCATTGTTCTTTACTTTCTCTTACAACAGCTGTAAAAGAAAATGTATTTTTTAGTGTACAAATGAAATATTTTACTACAAAATTACAGTATTTACAAGATATTAATGATATTTTACAAATACTATACATTATAATACAGTAGCCCCTCAGTATATTGAGCATTGGATGTATCATGCTTTTTGGCCTCCCAAATTTTAAATGCACGTGAGTCAATAAATTTTAAAATATCAGTTGCCATTGAATTTATCTTTGCTACCAAATGTGGTATTTTATTCCAACCATTGTGCTTGAAATTACCACTGCAGGTAAAACAATAAATGTGTAAAGATTTAAATAAGCAATACAAGTGGATAGATCAGTTATCAATTATATTTCCTTTGGATATTAAAAGTTATTTATTGGTTTTAAGTACCCTCTCCTCATTTACAAGCTTCTGTGAATTCGAAATTTTACACCTTTATGTGAATTAATGTAATATCAATTCCCATAAAAGTGTGAAATTTTGAATTCACTGTGTAATGAATGTGTAAGGAAAATATTTCCTTATTTCTGAACAGTTCTAAAATTTTTATACAGTAACTTTATTTTACTTTTTAGAGAATTTTTAATCTAATTTTATAAGTTTGGATGTTCTATTATATTATAAGTTATTCAATATTTATTTTTTAAATTTTCAATTACTGTATTTTTATAATTTTTATTGAAAAATATAAATTACACAAATTTTTAATAGGTGATTTATTATGAAATATAGTACAGTCGACCCCCCTATAAGATCGTTGATTTTTCCGTTTTATCTGAATTACATGTTGTACCGAGTCACTTAGATTTTACAAATACGTGTGCCGGGCTGTGAACGGCTCACATATTTGTAAAATCTAAGTGACTCGGTACAACATGTAATTCAGATAAAACGGAAAAATCAACGATCTTATAGGGGGGTCGACTGTACTATATTTCATAATAAATCACCTATTAAAAATTTGTGTAATTTATATTTTTCAATAAAAATTATAAAAATACAGTAATTGAAAATTTAAAAAATAAATATTGAATAACTTATAATATAATAGAACATCCAAACTTATAAAATTAGATTAAAAATTCTCTAAAAAGTAAAATAAAGTTACTGTATAAAAATTTTAGAACTGTTCAGAAATAAGGAAATATTTTCCTTACACATTCATTACACAGTGAATTCAAAATTTCACACTTTTATGGGAATTGATATTACATTAATTCACATAAAGGTGTAAAATTTCGAATTCACAGAAGCTTGTAAATGAGGAGAGGGTACTTAAAACCAATAAATAACTTTTAATATCCAAAGGAAATATAATTGATAACTGATCTATCCACTTGTATTGCTTATTTAAATCTTTACACATTTATTGTTTTACCTGCAGTGGTAATTTCAAGCACAATGGTTGGAATAAAATACCACATTTGGTAGCAAAGATAAATTCAATGGCAACTGATATTTTAAAATTTATTGACTCACGTGCATTTAAAATTTGGGAGGCCAAAAAGCATGATACATCCAATGCTCAATATACTGAGGGGCTACTGTATTATAATGTATAGTATTTGTAAAATATCATTAATATCTTGTAAATACTGTAATTTTGTAGTAAAATATTTCATTTGTACACTAAAAAATACATTTTCTTTTACAGCTGTTGTAAGAGAAAGTAAAGAACAATGGACAGAATTGTTGGATAGACTAAAATCTGTTAAAATTACATCTTATGATCCAGTTAAAGAAGTAAGAAGTTTATTTTATAACATTTTTATGAATTGTAAAATTAATATAGTAAATCTCATGGATGTTTATTCCTGTAAGTTAGCAGATAAATGAAATAGAAATTTATTTATCATACAATATTTATATAGTTAACAATACTGGAAATTAGTGAAAACACATTACATTGCTCTCACTCAAATAGACATTTATTTATTCTAATTTTCTAAAAATGTAAATTTTTGACATAACATATGTTCATTAAGGTGTGCAAAGATGAGAATAACATCAATTTTTTGTAAATTTATCAAAGTTTTGTATATTCTGGTATCTTACAATTAGATGTTAATACATAGTGGAATTTTATTATAGTAATATACTTTTAACTTTTTGGTTATGGGATGTAAATGGAAGAATACATCAATGGAATTATTTGAACTTATAATCTATTACACTAGATTCTTGCTAATTTGGCTATTCTTTGTACAGAGTAGTGCTAGATTACTGAAAGTGTATAGGCTTAAAGCCTGCTTAAAACCAATGAATAACTTGATTTGTTGCCCTTCAGTACTGATTCTTTCTTGGAGGCAAGTGGACAAGTAATATGGAGCANAAAAAAAAAAATTTATTTAAAGTGATAAATCTAAGGTAAAATCCTTGAATGCAGCAAAAAATTCTTTTAAATCACAACTGAACACACTATTATCAAGTTTACACTTCTTCATAATATTGCTTCCAAATTTTATAAAACAGAACTTATTACCCTAAATATATTTTTAATGAAGACAAAATAAAAGTTGAAATGATCTGTATATAAAAATATTAATCAAGAATTAAACAGATATAGCCTATATAACATTTATAATCATTTCAAATCAGAAACTATTTTTTCTTCAATTGTGCTATAATTGAGACAATGTAATTTTTATTTTATATTATAGAAATAATTGTATTCCTATCTAAATGTAGTTATAATTTATTAACAATTTCCTATATGTAAGTCTATTTATAACAAGAATTTTAACTGATTAATAAGCTCTAATCAAATCTGTCTGTGACTGTAAGATCTACATCTTTACAGTCACAGACAGCCTATATGTATCATATATCTTATTATTTATATGGAATATCCTATTATAATTATGCATAATCCTATATATATGTTAAATGTTTAAAGTTACTGGGTTTATATGTTGTATGGCTTAAACATCACACTTGCACATCGCTCATTATTTTCTAAACTAATACATTTGTATATGAAAGCTATAAAAATTGTAATCTATGTTTTAATAGTCACGTATAATGTCTATATTCGATTATTTCTATAACACTACTAAAACAGAACATCTAGGTCTAAGCAAATTAACATTACATTCATGAAAATAAAAATAAAATGAGAAAAATTCTGAAAATATTTAGTAGATAAATTAAATTAGTAAACGGAAATGAACCACCAAATTTTATAGAATTTTCCCCGTAGAATTTTTAAATGAAATAAGAATGCCAAGACTTGCATTATTCACAATTAACCTTCAGCGGAGTCCTTGAGAATGGATTTATATTGACACTGTCAAGGTATGCGAATCATTTCTCAACGGGAAAGGTGGTACCTTTACTTGCCAATCTAAAAAATCCACGTGATCCCGAAGGAATGTCAACAACGTCGTTAGTAGGCGGAGTAACTGTCAATCAACTCAATTGCTGGATATGGAGGATAAACGGAATAGTCATACGCTACCGATAATAGGCTTATTCTGCTTAGAAATTAAAAACGATATAACATTTAAACTTTAACAGTATAATATTTGCTATCTAACAATTATTATTTGCTAAGCTATAAATGATTCAAAAAAATGTCGAATGAGATGACGAAGGATAAATTCTCCCAACCTCCAACGATCTCAATTTCCGTATATGGTAATTAAATATCAAAGATATATCAAACGTCGTCATTAATGGATATTTAAAATATAAAAAGAAAATAGTATTAAGTCATATAAAGTATTTAGAATCGAATAACATTTTAAAAAAAGTTTATATAAATATATATGTGCTTTTCGTTTTTTTTCTTTTCTTTCTGTTTTTTTTTTATTTATTTATTAATCGTCGTGTGTTGAATGCGGAGTATGAATTTCAAGATGGCTTCTCTCCAAAGTTGTTGATTTGATTGGAGAACTGTTTCTACTTATTTTAAGTTTATATCGTTTATACTCTCCGTTCTGTTATTTAATCGGTGATTTGGATACGTTTATGTGATTTTTGATTACGTTTTCATCATTGTTAAGTCTCGTTGGAGTCTCTTTACAACTTCTTAACGAGGTAAGTTGTTAAATATGTTTGAAATTTCGATATTTTCCACCGATATATACGATACGTTTAGTTTATAATGGGGTATACGTAACTATAAAGGTGATTTTAAACTAATATTTCTTACTCTTAAGGTAAAACTGAAAAGTATATATATATATATAAAGTTTCCAGTCGATTATTATTATTATAATATTGGCTTGAATCAGTGTGGAATTTCGTTAGGTTGAGATGCGTACGAATTTTATAAATACTATTTTTACTTATCTGCAATGTTTATGCTTTACTCAGACAAATATGAGATTGTATAAGGTTTGTGTAAAGCAATGTCTGCAAGTGAGATAAAATTCAGTTATTGATATTGTTATCAGCTAAACTAATCAATATTAATGATTGTTGAATATTTTAACAGAGATTAAAATTTGTATTCTAAGTATAATAAAGTATGGAATTTTCTTATGGATGTATCAAAGTTGATTTCGATACAGAATTTGAATTTCTTGCTGGCGATAACATCTTTACTCTTGTTAAAAATCAATACTTAAATCTAACACTGTGTGTTATTGAAATTATATTATATAAAGATATCAAATTACAATTGTAATCAGTCCGGTTACCTACATGGATTAATTGCTTGTAAAAGTATAATATAGACTCGGTCTGCATATAATTATCCATTTAAACCGAATTTACAAAACTTTTGTTAGAATTGCATTGCTTTAAAAAATTTAATGTCAATAGTAATCGTTTATGTAAATGACAAAGCTAGTGGTAATGCTTTATAAACTGTACACTGACTTTTTTTCTCATTTATTAGTATTTTTTATTTTTATGGTAATTATCGCATTAGAAGAATATAAGGAAATGATCTTTGTGCAAAAAACTAACTGTTTATTGCACAAACAAGAACTAATGAAATAAAAACATTAATTCTTATATGTTTAGCTTTATTTATTAAATATGTTGATAAATTATATATATTATCCAAATATTAAAATGTATTTAAAGATATCAACTATAATTTATGTAATATGCTTTGTAAAATGATATTGTAAATGTGTCGATATTTCGTGTAAAAGTTTTGGTAAAATTTGTTCGTTTATGAAATTTAATTGAAGAAAACTTGTGTTGTTCATTGGACAATTAGATATGTAACAGTCTGTACATTTTCTTAATACATTTGCTTCATCATTATTTTTTCTGATAAGTCATTCTAGATGTCTGAATAGATGAAGAAATTACATCTTGAAATATATATATATTATATATTGATGGTTATTTGGAAATTATACAACAAATTATATAAGTAGAATAAAAAACAATAAGAGAGATTAATTTATTTTTATAATCTATTTTTCAAAAGGTTTCCAATTCTTTACCAAATTCTTTAATTATAATAGGAAGATATTTTCATTAAGAATTTACTTAATGAAATGTAGACCTATAGAATGTAATACAATTATTCAAATTCTACCTAATAAACATTTATCTAGTTCTTATATGTGATAGCCCAGCTGACTTAATTTAAAAATGGATCTGTGTCACATAACCTGCCTATAAAATTATAACAAATTTAAAATAACTAAACGGCAATAAACACTTAAACTCTGTTATGATATTTAACAAGCTTCTGTTTCATAAATTTGTTTCAAGCATCTTCTGTTAATAATTCTAATAAAACTTTTTAAATTATTACATGATTACAACTGGTTTTTTTTTTGGCATTATGCTGATTTATAACTGATATAATGAAGTAAATGATTACTACATTTTTATATTTTTAATAAATATTATTATATGACAATTAATAAATTGTTACAAAAATCATTTAAAACTTTTTTGTATATAGAACTCATTGGCCTAGATTAAAGAATCAGTTAAACTTTTTATTTTATAGCTTTTAATATTAATTATCAGATGTTAGACATTTGTTTTAATTATTATAGAGTAATAAGAAATTTTGTAAATTTGAAGTAGTAATTTTAAATCTTACAAACCTATTATAAATTAGTGGAAATTTGCTATTGGGAAGTTTGAATGAGTTGGGAAATTCAAATTTATCCTAGTTTATCTTATGACATCTTTCAGAAAAGATCTATAGAAGGATAAAGGAAGCAGTTATTCTCCTGGAAGATTAGACATGTTATGATCAAACTGTCTTTTCCAAATACTGTATTGTTAACATCAAAGAATGACCAAACTTGTCCTGTATAAACTTGTCATAATTTCAAAACAGGGAAATTGTGATTCTTTTTTTTTATGATGAAATCTTCCTTCTTTTAAGGGATGAAAATTACTGTTTACGTCCTTTTAATACAATATTTTTGTTATTTGAAAAGAATTGCTTGAAGCTAAATTATGCAAAGTATCTATAGAGCATTAAATGTATCAAAACTTAGATGACTTCATGCCTTAAAACTCTGCATAATTAAATTTGACTAAGGCTGTAGCAATCTTCTGTTCATAAGATAATTTCCTGTTAATTATTTTTAATTAAAAATTAACTTGAAAAACATTTATAATTGAAATAAAATTATTATCCAGATAATTATAATTGTGATCTATTGGTCACTCAGTAATTATTATGGCACAATAGCCTTTTGAATCATGATCTACTACTTGAATTTAATAGCTTTTATTTATAAATTGCAGAACATGTTTTGCAATATATCAATTAATTTTTTAATAAATTATAATCAAACTGTATTAAAATTATTTGTTAAAATTTATTAAAGAGAAGCATAACTCTTATTATTATTTATTTCAAATATTTTAATTGGCTATGGTTTGGCATCTTATTATATTTTTAAATTAATGTTTTCATTCTGTACATTTATATAGTTAATAATAATTTATTTTTTGATGTGTAATCTTCAAAAATGCATTTGAATGTTTCAAGAATGTTATATGATCTTGATTTAAGAGTTACACCTTATTTCTTTCTTTTATTAATTTACAAGTCTCTAAGTAAAAGTGAACTAATGAACTAAAGAAATCATTTTTTTCAGTTTTTAGGTTTGTTTCTACTTAAGGTTTCTATAAACAAATTTTGATTTAAACATTTCACACTTCCTACATCACTTATAATTTATATTAACTATTTTAAAGTTTTATTTTATATTGATCTCTTACTCTGAATTAATCNTAATGTCATCTGCTATGTTAAAGTTATCAAAAACCACGTTTCAAACTTAAAAATTTTGTTAAAAGTTTCAATTTAATTTAAACTTTTGATAAAATTTTTAAATTAAAGTTGTTTGATGGTGGGCATCAATCAAGGTGATGCCTCCTGGGAGGACTTTTTATGGAAACTAGCCTCTATTTAGAGAGGCCAGATGGCTGTTACGCCGTCTGGGAGACTCGAGATCGAATCCGTACATGTTTGAAATACACCAGGAATTTTTCAGGAAATGGTCCGTTCGATATTCTTATATCTGGAGTAGAGTTGCCTTACGATCCAATTTTACGGAATTTCTCCGATTTGGAACACTGTCTGGATCGGAAAATTTTTCCCGAAATATCCTGCTTAGTTCATTTCTATCCGAAAGTATTCCAATTTATATTAAAAACAGCCAAAGATAAATTGTAGACTATACGTATCTGCAGATGTCGCGCATGCATACGCCATCTATTCTAACACGCGTATGTATTTAGTAATCTTAAAAAAACTAAAACAAAACCTCGCCCTGTGGACACTAAGAAGACCCTCTTTCAGCAAGCCTATTATGGGTTCGGCCAGAGCCACAATGTAGCGGCCGGGTGATGAGAGACTGGGCCCGACATATCCGGACGGACCACCACCTAAAAATTCTTGGGACTTTTTCGACCTGTCCGGATTCGATCTCGAGCGGTATATTCAGGCCGGACTGCGCCTCGTCGGACGGCAAAAACGGTCACTTGTAGTAGTAGTTTACGATGGAAAGCAACATGGTATCCTCCAAGGCTCAGATAGTTTCGTTTCGGTGTCCATTACGTGGTTTTATGAATAAAAAATTAGAATTTGTGAAAGCACACGGTGACATCTCATTTCGAATTTTTTTCGAATGGTAGCAGACATTCTAATTTTTTCGTGGCTACTATGAATGCTCTGTCGGCAAGACAGAGATTAATCCATTTTACGGTTAAATTTTACAATTGGAACACTTCTTTTAACTTTTGTCTCTAAAAGAGTATGAGAAGAGAATATACAGGTATCCCTTGTATAACATGGTTTCGCTCCAACACTGTTCGAGAATTGAAGACATCCCCGTACAAAACGCCACAAATATTTTAATTTAAATTAGCGAAACTCTAGAGTTATATTTTTATTTGAATACGAAAGACGGTAACTCGTAATCTGACTTCCAGTTAGATTTAAACGAGTTCGTCACCTCTGTTTAACTCAGTCTACAGCAGTGTTTTTCAACCTGTGGGTCGCGACCCCCAGGTGGGTCGCAAAGCCATACACGGGGGGTCGTGGGTAAAAGAAAAAGTGTTTGTAGGTCCTACACTACAATAAAAAAAAACTACAATTTCAGTGAGAAGGCTGTGCTGTTTATTTTACAGTACAGTTAGCTTTTTAATCGATATTTAAACCTCAACAGAAAGAAAATTAAATACGTAGTTTTTAA